ATTTTAACATTCATGTGGACATTGAAACTGACAGCCTCAATGTAGCCTTTAGTAATATCTCTACTGGTTTCACCCAAATAATACATAGCTCCACCCACTCCTGCCATCATACAATAGACCTTGTGCTAACTTATGGCATAGAGTGTGAGGAAATAACTATCTTTCCACATAATCCAGTCCTCTCGGACCACTTTCTGATAACCTTTGAGTTTTTTATAACTGAGTTCTCGAGACATGAAAGTAAATTTCACTATACCTGACAACGCAGTTGCATCTTTTAAATCAACTGTTCCATCTTTACTGTCCTCAGCATCTCAGAGGCATGTAGCAGAGGGCAATATTTTCAGTTCTAGCCCCTCACAAATTGATGCCTTAGTTCATCATGTTAATTCCTCTCTACGCGTGGCGTTAGATGACGTTGCCCCTTTAAAAAACAAGGTAATTAGGGACAGGAAGTTGGCTCCCTGGTTTAATTCTGATTTACGAACTTTAAAACTAAACTCTAGAAAATTGGAGAGAACATGGCGCTCTACACACCAGGAAGAATCCTACTTATCCTGGAAAAATAGTCTTGTGCTTTATAAAGATAAGCTTCGACAAACTAGAACTGCATATTTTTCATCGCTAATTAAGGAGAATAAGAATAATCCTAAATTTCTTTTCAGTACAGTAGCCAAACTTACACAGAATCGTAGCTCTGAACCATCTATTCCCTTAGCCCTCAGCAGCAACGACTTTATGGGATTTGTCAGGAGTAAAATCAATTCTATTAGAAACAAAATCATTAGCATCCTCCTTAACCCTCTGGAGGCAGGCGTTGCAGATTAGCAACGTTAAAACCTACCTACCTGGTTACTCCATACTTGTATTTCATTAGCATTTTTGAACTCAGAAGTACCCCTGAAGGACTTAGTTGTTCATCCTTTTATTAAAATTTATTTTGAGCCTGAGAGGGCTAATGCGATTTCTTCTTCCTCAGTAAGTGAGGCAGCATCTGAGGTAACTGTAGAACCTCATCTGTATTTGAACCGTTTTGATCCAGTTGAGCTTTCAGAGTTATCAAAAATATTAGCTTCACCTAAACCTTCAACTTCCATTTTAGATCCAATCCCAACCTAAATTAAAGATACATTTCCTTTGGTTACTGCCCCCATTCTAGATATAATCAATCTATCCTTAGTAAATGGATATGTACCACAGGATTTTAAGGTTGCTGTAATCAAACTTCTATTTAAGTAACCTTCTCTGGATCCAGAGGATTAATGGATTAATATAACTGGGTATCATCAGCATAACAGTGGAATTTTATCCCTTGCTGTCTAATGATTTTACCAATTGGAAGCATATTTATAGTAAAAAGAATTGATCCAAGCACTGAACCCTGTGGTACTCCACAAGTAACCCTGGAGTATGAAGATTTGTCATGTAAGTTTACAAAATGAAATCTATCAGACAGGTAGCATTTAAACCAGCCTAGCGCTGTTCCTTTGATCCCTACAACATGTTTGTCTTTCTAAAAGAACATTGTGATCTACTGTGTCAAAGGCAGCACTGAGATCTAAGAAGACAAGAACAGACACAAGATTCTTATCTGAGGTTATGAGAATATCATTTGTAACTTGTAAGATGTGATCAGGCCTCAGACCTGGAGACCTACTGATTCTGCAGCTATACCCTTCTTGATGTGAGAGCGGGACTTCCCGTGTGAGGAATGTCCACTCAACTGTTCACCACTCAGACGTCAGATCATTAATTCCTAGCTGTGTCTTTACCAAGCTTCAACACTTCCTTGTCTGGGTCGGACCCAAGTTAATAAATGTAGGTCCTCCACCAGATTTCTGCCTGTTCTAGTGCCATTTATAAGGATTTTTATTGATCGATAAGATGGGCTTTTACTAGATTATGAGTAATAGAAGTGCTAATAAAAACACCCAATTATACCTAAAAGTTAATCTGGAAAAATTAGAATATGGTGCAAAAGTCCATTTATTACAGTAATTCAACTAGACTGAGAGACTGTTTAAAGGCTCAGGGACCATTTGCAGGTGTTTATTTGTAATTATTCATTTTAGTCGACTGAGGTTTTGTTTATGCATTTATCAGACGCTTTTGTCCAAAGTGACTTACAGGTGATAATGAAGCCAGCAGGGTGCCCTTGAGGCTAACAACAAACACTAGTCAGCCATCCTAGGTGGCGGTGAGGCAGCATAATGAATCATAGAGGGAAGTGAACAAGGAGAGGACAGTAGAGAGGGGAAGGGTGCTAGTTTAGAAGATGCTCTCTGAAGAGCAGGGTCTTCAGGAGTTTCTTGAAAATCAACAAGGACTCCCCTGTTCTGGTAGTGCTTGGTAGGTCATTCCACATCTGTGGAACGATACATAAAAAGAGTCTGGATTGTCCTGAGCGTGGTGTAGGCACTGCTAGCTGACGATCCTTCGATGACCGGAGCGGCCGAGCCGTTATGTAAGCCTTCACAAGAGGATTCAGGTAGATGGGAGCCGTAGCATCCAGGACTTTGTAAGCTAGTGTTAGCGATTTGAATTTGATGCATGCTGCTAGCGGTAGCCAGTGGAGCTCAATGAACAGAGGGGTGATGTGTGCTCTTTTAGGCTGATTGAAGACCAGACGCGCCGCTGCGTTCTGGACCATTTGAAGAGGTTTCACAGTACAGCCTGGAAGACCAGTTAGAAGGGGTATGCAGTAGTCGAGGTGATAGATGAACCAGGAGCTAGGTGGCATATTGTGTTACGTACAGAATGATCTTTCGTATGTTCTATAGCACAAAGTGGCATGAACAAGTGACAAAGGCACCGTGATCTTTAAAGGTCAGCTCGTCATTGATCACAACACCCACATTTTGAACTGCCTTTGAAGGAGCCAGAGACAGGGAATCATTTTGGATTGAGATATTGTGCCGTGTGGATGGTTTTGCTGGGATGACAAGTAGTGTTTCAAATAAAACAGTGACATTTGAATAATTAAAAAGCGTTGGTTAGTTTTTTTTTAATTAAGAGCTTGACTTTACAAAAATAATATCTGTGTCTAATGTTTGATTCTCTGCCTCATTATTTTTAATAAGAAAAATAATTTGGGGGCAAATTTTCATAAATAACAAAAATGTGATTAATTAATTACAAAGCCTCTAATTAATTAAATAACTCTTTTGATCGAGTCCCACCCCTACTGCTTTTATTCAATTCAATTCAAGTTTATTTATAAAGCGCCAAATCACGACAAGAGTCCTCTCAAGGACCTTCACACATTAAACATTCCAATTCAGGTCAGTTCATTAAGCCAATCAGAAATAATGTGTCCTATATAAGGAACCCAGCAAATTGCATCGAGTCACTGACTAGTGTCAGTGACTATACAGCAATCCTCATACTAAGCAAGCATGCAGCGACAGTGGAGAGGAAAACTCCCTTTTAACAGGAAGAAACCTCCAGAAAATCCTGGCTCAGTATAAGCAGCCATCCTCCACGACTCACTGGGGATGGAGAAGACAGAGCAGACACACACACACACACACACACACACACACACACACACACACGCACGCACGCACACACACACACACACACACACACACGCACGCACGCACATACGCACGCACACACACACACACACACACACACACACACACACACACACACACACACACACACAAAGTAATGTGTCTATGGTTACATTGTGATGTCTTAGTTAATATTCTATTTGGTGAGAGATAAATTTTATTGTATTTATCCTAGTGAATCTATAATTAAACGGATAAACTAGTAGTAGCACATTCAATGTCAAAGAAAGTAAAAAGTTATTATCAGAAGAGGGAGAATGTTTAAGTGGTTAGCAGCAGTGTGCTAGTCGATGGCCCCCTCCATGAGGCCACCACAGCTCAGCAGAACATCGTTGTAGCTTCTTCTGGGGAGAAAAACACTTAGAGAGAAAATAAAGTTAACAGCTGAAATAGCAGGAAATAATACAGTTAAAGAGCAGATTGTAGAAGAAAGCAGTAGAGTGTGAAAAGTGGTCAGTGTGTCCTCCAGCAGTCTAAGCCTATAGCAGCATAACTACAGAGATAACTCTGGATAATCTATCCTATTTAGATGTAGGCATGTTGGAGGCAGGGCAAAGGAGAGCCGTCTTTACCGACTGTACACTCCACCTCCCTCTACTCCCCCACTTGTCCAGATTTAGGCTAACATCAGATTTTAACCATAGGCCCTATCAAATAAAAATGTTTTAAGCCTATTCTTAAAAGTAGACAAAGTGTCTGCCTCACGGACTAAAGCTGGGAGCTGGTTCCACAGGAGAGGAGCCTGATAACTAAAAGATCTGCCTCCCATCCTAATTTTAGATATTCTGGGAAACACCAGTAGACCTGCAGTCTGAGAGCGAAGTGCTCGGTTAGGAACGTATGGAACAATCAGATTACTGATGTATGATGGAGCTTGATTATTAAGAGCTTTATATGTGAGAAGAAGGATCTTAAAATCTATTCTGAATTTAACAGGTAGCCAATGTAGGGAAGCTAAGACAGGAGAGATATGATCACTCTTTTTAATTCTCATTAGAACTCTAGCTGCAGCATTTTGGACAAGCTGAAGACTTTTAACTACATTCTGTGGACTTCCTGAGAGTAAGGAATTACAGTAATCCAGTCTTGATGTAATACATGCATGAACTAGTTTTTCAGCATCACTCCTGGAAAGTATGCTTCTAATCTTAGCAATATTCCGAAGGTGGAAAAAGGAAATCCTACAAACCTGTTTAACCTGGGATTTCATACACAAAGGCACATTGAATTGCCTTTGTGTATGAAATGTACTATGTAAATAAAACTGCCTTGCCTTGCCTAGGTGGGTGTGTGTGTGTGTGCGTGCGTGCGTGCGTGTGTGTGTGTGTGTGTGTGTGTGTGTGTGTGTGTGTGTGTGTGTGTGTGTGCGTGCGTGCGTGTGTGTGTGTGTGTGTGTGTGTTGTATTGAGCTGCAAAACTGGGTGGAGCTTAAGCAATCTGCAGCCTATTTAACAGATGTTTACAGTGAGGATCATTACAGTCAGCCATGGGTCTTCCTGGGAAACAGACGTGGACATGGACACTGTATGTCCTTTTTTGTGGGATGTGTGTTGGTCAGCTGGTGCCAGAACCGTAAGTTTACATAAACTGAAAAGTTTAACAGTTTGTTTTAGGTGTAAAATGAACATTGGCCTGTTTATTACTGTTAATGGGAGGCCAGCCCACTGATCTACCTGCTGCATGTATGACTGTTTGTAGACATTACATGGTGGCCTTTCCAGCAGTCCTTGAAGCTGGAGCTGAGACCAAGTTCTGCGTGAGCCTCTTTCAGCCCAATGAGACTTTAGTCCTGACTGTCACTCTGAGGTCCCAAGAGAGGAACACGACTCTTTGTGAAAAGACTTCCAGCACAGAGTTTCATGACTGCCTTCAGTGTCAGGTTATCTATCCAAATGGTCTTTGACCTATTTCTCCTTTTACAACAATACCTCTGAAATGTAAGTTAGAAACGCCGAGCAGTTGAAGTGTGGTCTTCCAATCACAGCCATTCATTTCTTGTACAGATTCCTTCTGTAGACAAAGAAGACATTTGGGACATTGAGGTAGTGGTACGGGGAAACACGTTTTACTCCAGAGAAGTAAGGAAAATCATGATCAACGACTATAAACCAAAAACCTTCATCCAAACAGATAAACCCATCTACCTCCCTGGACAGACAGGTATTAATGAGCTTTGGCATTCAGGAATTAGTGCTGGCCAAACTGTTGATGTTTGCAGACCATAGGCTCTTGTATCATGACATCATGTGTGTTAGTAATCCAGTGTCTGAGAGGTCTAAGTCATTTTTATCAGCTAATGAACTCTGAATATTTCTCTCAGTGCATTTCAGATTGGTCACACTGGATTCCCAGCTGAGACCTGCTAGTCAGTTGGTGAGTATTTGGTTGTTTTCTTTAGTCATTTACAATTGTGACCAATGTGCTTATATTAAACACATTTGGGTTTATTAGAATGACATGCTTGGTTGTAATTGTGTTTGATCAGAGGTCTGAGTCATTTCTGTCAGCTGTTATAATCTGAACTGATAACCAGTTTGTACCCAGTGGATGCACGATGCACAATTTCACAGTTTGATAAAGGGGACATTTGTCCTCCACCTTATCAAAGCAGATGTCTCCTGTCTCCTATATGCAGATGATATTCAGCTGTACTGCTCCTTTAAGGATTCTGAGTTCTACAAACTGTCTGAATTACTAGAGTGTCTATCAGCTATCACCAGCTGGCTAGAAGATAACTTCCTTCTGTCACGATACGGAGATGGTTTGGACCCAAAATGCAGAACCCAGGATGACACGGGGCAGGAGATGATATAAAGAAAATCCTTTTATTTCAGGATGAGTCCAAAATATAAATAAATCCAAAAGGGCTGGAAGCCAAAAAATCTAAAATGTCCAAAATATAAACTAGAGATCAAAAACACTAGAGACAACGAGAAGCACCAAGGAACACTAGAGAACGAGAAGTCTGACAGAATACCACAATGGACCGACACAAGACAGAGACAAGACAGGGCTTAAATACACACGGAGGAGTAATTAGGGAAAATGGCAGCAGGTGTGTGGGGTGAGGGCTGGAGGGAAGACAGGTGACAATAGTTTATCTAAATGGGGCAAACAGAACCAAAGGAGGACAGATAAACCTAAAACACAAAAACTAAACCTAAAGACTGTGGGAAGGACTCTCACACACACACACACTGACACACATAACCTCACACCTATACACTGAACTGGGGAATGGACATGCACACACACACACACTGAACAGGGGCAGGACATGCACACACACAACACACACACTTACACTGAGTTGGGGAGGACACACACACACACACACACACACACACACACACACACACACACACACACACACACACACACAAACACACACACATACACTCACACATACACACACACACACACATACACTGAGCTGAGGACAAAGAGGCTGGAGT